TATAAATATATAAATATATAAATATATAAATATAATACATATAAATATATAAAAATATATAAATATATATATATATATATCCTTTTTCTGTCTCTTTATTTCCTGTCTTGTCAACTGCCCTTTATGTGTATAATCAATATAATATATATAATATATATTATATGAAACATATATTATATAGATATTATATAATATTATATATAATATATATAAATATGTTTGTGTTGTGTGTGTATTGCACAGGACTGGCGTTGTTTGCTGCTGCCTCAGAGCAGCTTATACATCCCTGTAGAGATATACAGTTTAGCTGCTTCTGTTTGCGTGAAGCTGCAGCGGGAGGCGGGATCGTTGATAACGGGATCGTGTCTGTTTAAAGTTGTGGGGTCGACGTTCCTGCTGTCTGCTTCTGTGTCTCCTTCACGCACATTCTTCTGTGCACTTCGAACCGATGCAGCAGCAAACAGCAGCGGCTTACGATTAACTCTGCTTGAACCCTGTCTCTTTATCAATAGCCTTCCGCTGTACGCCTATATCTACTGCTGCTCTCTTCTTTATATCTCTATTTATTGTGCTGTCTCTCTCTATCTATTGTGCTGTCTCTCTCTATCTATTGTGCTGTCTCTCTCTATCTATTGTGCTGTCTCCGTTTATCTATTGTGCTGTCTCTGTCTCTCTCTATCTCTCTCTGTCTCTTTATGCTGTCTCTCACTCTCTTTAGGCTGTCTCTCTGTATCTTAATGCTGTGTCTGTATCTTGGCTAGCTAGCTAGCTAGCTAGCTGCAAGCCTATCTGTACGCTTGTTTGCTTTTATGTGCGTCTCTGTGTTGATCCCCCTCTCTGTCTCTCTGTCTCTCTTTCTGTCTCTCTCTCTCTCTCTCTCTCTCTCTCTCTCTATCTCCTTAGCTAGCTAGCTAGCTAGCTAGCTAGCTAGGGGGAGTATTCTCTTTTTTCACACAGAAGATGTTTATATTTGGTATTGCAACTTGCTGCTGCTGCTGCTCTTCCTCTTGCTGCTGCTGCTCTTGCTCCTGCTGTTGCTGCTGCTGCTGCTGCTCTTGCTCCTGCTGCTGCTCGTCCTCCTGCTGCTCGTCCTCCTGCTGCTTCTGCTACGACTACTACTACTACTACTACTACTACTACTACTGCTGCTGCTGCTGCTGCTGCTGCTGTTATGCTGTGCAGGGAGGTGGAAGTGCAGATATCTCAGGGGCCGCCACTTCGCATTCATCGCTTTTGTTTGTCTCCCGGCGTTCGTCGAGGTCTTACATTATTTGATTACCGCTTTCCTATGTCTCTGTCTTTGAGGCTTAGACCTGCTGCTGCTGCTGCTGCTGCTGCTGGTGCTGGTGCTGGTGCTGGTGCGGGGTGGTCGCAGCCTTTGCTGCTGCAGCCCCCCACGCACACGGAACAGGCTGCTGCGGCTGCTGCTGCGGCCGCTGCAGCAGCAGCAGCAACAGCAGCAGCGAAGGGCAGCAGCAGAAATGCCGCTGCTGCTACAAAGGCAGCAAATATTGCATGCAATAGACGAGGCACTGCTGCTGCTGCTGCTGCACCTGCTGCTACTGCTGAGGCCCTTTCATTCCGCAGTGCATGCAGCCCCAACCGTCGCCAAGGCTTAACAAGCAGCAGCAACAACAGCAGCAGCAGCAGCAGCGAAGCAGAAGACCTGCCGCAGCACCAGGCTTCAGCTGCTACACTAATTACACCCCGTCGCCCTCGCATGCGTCGTCACGCAGACAGCAGCAGCAGCAGCAGCAGCAGCAGATTAGTGGATGCTGCAGAAGGCATAGACTGGGGAGGCGGTGCATCTACCTTTGAAGGAGAATCTGCTGCAGCAGCAGCAGCTGCTGCTGCTGCTGGTGGCGTTGGTGACGTTGGGAATAGTGCTGCTGCTGCTGCTGCTGCGGGTGCAGCTCGCTGCGCTGGTGGTGCTGCTGCGGATGCAGCCAGTGTGGCTGCTGCTGCTGCTGCTGCTCCCTTTGCGGCTGCCGCTGCTGCTGCTGCAGCTGCTGGTGCTGCTGGTGCTTCAGCAGCATCAGGAGCAGCAGCAGGAGCAGCAGCAGGAGCAGCAGCAGCAGCAGCTCCGGTGTCTGTACAGCTGAGACAGGGCTTGCAAGTGCTCATTCACTTCAGACGGTTAGGCGGTCTCTTTGGCGGCGCTACTTTGATCATATTCAAACCCAAGATTGTAAATTAAAACAAATAATCAGCTGTCTCCTTCTGTCTCCTTCTGTCTCCTTCTGTCTCCTTCTGTCTCCTTTCTAACTGTCTCCTTTCTATAGGCCTTCTCTCTCTGTCTCTCTGTCTCTCTGTCTCTGTCTCTGTCTCTGTCTGCTTCTATCTCTGTCTCTGTCTCTCCTGTCTCTCTCCTTTCTAACTGTCTCCTTTCTAACTGTCTCCTTTCTAACTGTCTCCTTCCTCTGTCTGTCTCCTTCATCTGTCTGTCTCCTTCATCTGTCTGTCTCCTCTCTGTCTCCTTTTAATAGGTCTTCTTTGATTTTTTTTGTCTGTCTCTCTGTCTGTATGTCTATCTGTCTCCTTTCTATCTTTTTTTTGTCTGTCTCTCTGTCTCTCTGTCTCTGTCTCTCTGTCTCTCTTCTTTGTAACTGTCTCCTTTGTCTGTTTGTCTCCTTCGTCTGTCTGTCTCCTTTGTCTGTTTGCTGCAGCATTTATTATTTTAGTTTTGTTTTGTTGCTGTTGCTGTGTGATGCAGCCTTTGTTTTATCTGTCTCCTTTCTCTGTCTTCTCTAGAGCTGCTTATTATTATTATTATATTGATATTTATTATTATATATTATTATGTATTTGTATATATTAGTATTTATATGTATTATTATTATGAAGTTTGTTTGTCTTTGTTTATTTGCTGCAGCTGTTGATAAACAGCTGCCCCTTCCCGCTGCATTTGAAGCCTTTGGGGTGTCTAGGAACCTCAGCTGTCTCCTTTTATCCTCTAGAGACTCTTGAGTTTAGCCCTTCCTTTAACTCTATTCATCTGCAGATGCGCCGTGTGGGGCCCCACACCCGCAGCAGCAGCAGCAGCAACAGCAGCAGCAGCAGCAGCAGCAACACCAGCAGCAGCAGCAGCAGCAGCAGCAACAGCAGGCTAAAGGGACAGAAGGAGACCCTCCTCGCTCCGCAGCTGCGCAAACAAATGCGCGAAGCAATCTCCTTCAGCCACCTCTTAACTCCCTTCCTTCCTGCTACTCCCTGCAGCAGCAGCAGCAGCAGCAGCAGCAGCAATGCGTGTTGCTGCTGCTGCTGCGGGCTTTGCGTCGGCAGTCTCTACTGCGAATGGTCTTCGCCTATCAATGTTTTAAAATGCCTCAACGAGCAGCTGGCGCTGCACTGCTCTCTACCACTCACCAGCAGCAGCAACAGCAGCAGCAGCAACAGCAGCAGCAGCAACAGCAGCAGCAGCAGACTTATGCCTCGTGTGGATATAATTCAGCTGCGTGCGACTGAAGAAGACGGAGTTCGGTTCCTTGTCTTTTCTGCTCCCTTCGCACGCAGCAGCAGCAGCAGCAGCAGCAGGAGCAGCAGGAGCAGCAGCAAGAGGACCCCCTGCTGCAGCAACTGCTGCTGCTGGAGAGAAGAGGGGAGGTGGTCTGCAGGCATCCCTGCTGCTGTACAGGAGGCTCCTTGTATATTTATAATAAATAAATTGCTGCTGTCTCTTTTCGTGCAGCAGAAAGGAGAGCGCTGCTGCTCTCAAGTGTCTCCTCACTCTATCCTCCCGCTTGCCTACGACAACCCTTGGGGAGAACGCACCTTTAAGGTTGCTGCCAGCAGGTGGCTGCTGCTGCTGCAGCAGCAGCAGCAGCAGCAGCAGCAGCACCGGCGGCGGAGGAAGGGGCGGCGGCAGCAGCAGCAGCAAATGCTGCAGCAAATGCTGCAAGAAGACGAAGAGACAAAGCCGCAGCATTTGCTTGAGGTCTCCCTCAAAGCAGAAGGAGACATCTTCTTCTTCTTTCTTGTAGCAGTACGAACTTCAGCAGCAACACAGCAGCAGCAGCAGCAGCAGCAGCAGCAGCAACAGCATGCTGTCGGTGGTGGCACTGCCGAGAGCAATACCCGCCAAGCTGCTACTGCTGCTGCAGCAGCAGCAGCAGCAGCAGCTGCAACTACTGCGGAGCCCTACCTTTGCGGTGGAGCAGCAGCAGATGCCGCAGCAGCAGAAGCAGCAGCAGCAGCAGCTGCAGAGGCAACAGCAACTGGAGAGATGCCCTGGCACACCCCTGCTGCTTCCGCTGCTGCAGCAGCGGAGAAAGACTCTGCTGCGAGCAACCCTCCTGCAGCAGCAGCTGCAGCAGCAGCAGCAGCAGAACCCGAAGCAGCAGTACTGGAAGCAGCAGCACCCGAAACAGCAGCAGCAGCAGCAGCAGCAGCAGCAAGAGGACGGCAGTTTCCTCCTGCATGCAGGTGGGGTAGCGGATGGTCTCTGCTGCAGTCGGTGGGTGCAGCAGCAGCAGCATCGCTGCAGCAGCACAGCAGAGATGTTTGTCTCCTTCGCTATTGCTGCTGTCTCTCCGTTCGCTTCTGGGGCTCTACAGTTTGTCTTCGCTTTACAGGTAAGCTGCAGCAGCTGCAGCAGCTGCAGCAGCTGCCTGCAGCAGCAGCAAACTCCACCCCGCCTGCAGCAGCAGCTCTACCCGCTCTCCGTTCTCCGGCTGCTGCTGATGCTGCTGATGCTGCTGCATCGACGTGGCCAGTGCATGCGACATCAGCAGCAGCAACAGCAGCAGCAGATGGGGAGGAGACAGCAGCAAATCGCTTGAAGTATATCTGCAGTTCAGAACGGGCGCTGCGGTGGTTTTATAGAAAAGCTGCAGCAAGGCCTTGCAGCAGCAGCAGCAGCAGCAGCAAAGGAGGGCTGAAGCATCTCTCCTTTTCTGTGTACATACACCGCCTGGTTGTCTCTGTGTCGCTGGCACCGGTCAGCAGGTCTGCTGCTGCTGCTGCAGCAGCAGCAGCAGCAACTGCAGCAGCAGCAGCACACCGCGACGAGCAAAGGGGAAGCCGCAGGCGCAGCAGCGCGACGCTGGAGGACCTGCAGCAGCAGCAGCAGCAGCAGCAGCAACTGCAGCAGCAGAAGCAGCAGCAGCAGCAGCCTTTGCGTTTGTTTTTGTATGGCATTACCTGCAGCACTTCGTACGTTGAAGACAGCCGCGGTGAGACAAAAAAAATAAAGAAAAAATATAAACATAGACAAAGACAGAGACACTTAAGATATATATATATATATATATATATATATATATATATATA